TTACTTTTAAATATGCGAGAAGTGCATCTTCTGTTTCTGCAGGACACTAGAATCAGGTCAAATAGCTCACCTGAAGCTGATTAGTTAAGTATGTGCTGAACTTCCTGTTGAATCAGAGAGCACTGAGACAGATAAAAGAAGGACCTCTTTATCAAAGGACAATATGTCTGGCATCTAATTGTTCTCTTTAGGGGCTTAGTTTTCCATGGTTTTAGGTTGCAGATGAGAACAATCTCCAGGGATGGTGAAACTTTGCTTCAGTTAACATAAAAGTATGGAAGTGCTTTGATCTACTTGTAGAAAATCATTATAGAAGCATTAAATAAAAGCATCATCGTGCAATCCCTGCATACTTAGGTAGGACAGTTGTATCTCAATTCCTGCGATTGTTTTCATGTGAGGAGTGCTACAATCTATACATGCTGCCACAAACTAAATGATAAGAACTTGCCTAGGGCACAGTGACCTAAAATCCACTCTTAATCTACTATTCACAAAATAATTGTTTCAGCAAAAACATTTACTAGATCACACTGTACTGTATATACAAAGGAACACCTTCTTTTATGCATTAACTTCAGTGAGTATGCAGTTTAGTCACTCCTTCCACGCAGCAGACCATGCAGTTAAGAGTAAACAAAATATTACTGTCTTTTACCTGTTAGGTTTGCACTTAAGCTGAGGACATCTTAAGAATATGTTTCTGGAGCTCAGCATAGCTCTTCAGTGAGTCTGACTTGCAATGGTAACAGTGAGATCAAGCCTAACAGAGGCAGTGCATGAGCAGTCTGGAACTTCATTATGGAAGAAGCTACAATCATGTAGAACTAGATGACCTTTAAGGTCCCTTCCAACCCAAGCCATTCTATGATCTCTCAATCCAAGGCCTTTATTGGTGCAGTGAACTCTGCTGGTCAGTCCTCTACATCCATGTGAAGTTCATAGCAGGATTGCTGCCTGTGACAGATCCGGTGATCAACATAAGAAGAGTCACTGGCTTCATTGCTTCCAATCCAGCAACTGCCAACTCCCCTTTCACCTTGTTGTTCTCTCTCAGTCTCAGCCTTATGAACTTCTCTTTGTTTAAAACCAAAACTTTCCTTTTTTCTGTTTGCATCTGTTTTATTGTATAGAAGTACACCACAAAAAAGCTGTTGTCAGGTAAAAATTTTGCTGTCTATACAGCAAAAAGGAGAATTGTTTTCTACATCTAATTTTTTGTTCACCAGTCAAGGATTTCAGACTTGTGCTGACAGTTGCTGCCAAAGCATTGCTTTTTCAGTTTACAGAGTATTAAACAGCAGCTTCTCTGCAAAAAAGATAATCTGACAACAAATCATTTTGCACGTAGCCATGGTCACCTGGTTTTGTCTAAAGATCAAGAAATCAGAGAAGTTTCAAATAGTTTCCTTTTGAAATTTCAAAAAATGGCTGAATTTGTCTTTCTCAAAGAAAGAAACACAAAAAAAATGTCCTTTCTTGTAGGCAATGCTGGGACGAGGGAATGGAGAGTCCTCAAGAAAGAAAGATGAAGAGGAAGTTCAGAGCAGGCACAGACTGATCCCTGTTGGAAGAAAGATTTATGAGTTCTACAATGCTCCCATCGTCAAATTTTGGTTCTACACGGTAAGAAATCTTTCCTGTTATATTACTACTGTTTGGACAAATACTGAAATTGGATTAAGGTCATCTTGTGTGTTTCATTGAAAATCTGCAGCTGTGTGCATTGGAGGGCTTATCTGTAAATAGTTTAATAAAAGTCTTCTGTGGAGGTCAGCTAGCACTTGCAAGCCTGTCTACAACTTTTAAAGACTACCAGTTAATGCAGGAAGTTAATGGTTAAAATTTGAATGACTGTGTGTGTTTTTCTTCAAATACAACAGTAAGTGGAAAATTGCTGCATGCAGTGCTTCCAAGGAATTCCATATAGGAGAATTCCCAATAGGACAGCTTCAAATAGTAAGTCCAATGGGAGACTGCACTGAATCAGGGTATCGAATTGTGTAATAACTGATGAAAAAAAGAAGCAGGCAGATCACATTTTTTCTTGGAATATTTTTTCTTTTTTCTGTTTTGACTAGTCTGCAGAGTGTCTCTCAAAGCAAGTGTTTGTGTAAGTACCCACAAGATAACAAAGACAAGAGTAGCAGGTAATATACATTTTTCAGGGACAGATTATGTCAAATCAGTATAATCTTCCTATGTTATAAAGAAACAGACCTTGTGCATGGGGGAGGAAAAAATTATGTCATATATTTTTACTGAAGTAAGACAATATCAAAAACTTTCCAGGATACTCTCACAGATAAATTACTAACTGCTGTATTAAAGTTACTATGTGGATACAAAGCTTTTTGGCAATTAGTCCTCAAGAACAGATATTAATTATTCACTATCAAGCTGGAAGCAAGAATTGGAAAGGATTGCATTAGGGTCTCTCCTACATCAGGTGCTGATATTTTTATTCAAAACTTGGATGATGGAGTAGAGATTAGTTATTAAATTTGAAAATTGCACTAGGATATAGAAGGATGAGATCAAAAAGTAAAAAGAACACACAAAGTAATCCTTCCAGTCTCCTTGTCTGAAATAGTCTATCCCAGTTCGGTTTCTGCATCACGTGACAAGTATGGATTGGTTTGAAGGACACAAAAAAGAACAAGGAAAATATTTCAAGAGGTCTGTAAAACATGACTTAATGGGAAAGTTTTAAGGAAGCAAGATTGTTTTATCTGGAAAAAATAAGTTTGCAGAAGGAACGTAATAGTTTTCAAATATGTGTAAGTAGCTGCAGAGAGGAACAAAATGGAATTGAATAGGACAAGAAGGAGTGGTTTAAATTGCAGCAAAGAAGTTCTAGGTAAGATGTTAAGAAACAGTTTCTAACTGCTCTGAGGAGTACTGTCATAAACTGTGGAAGCAGATGGTAGATTTTCCATTATTAGTGATCTCTAAGTTTATCTTATCAAAACATATGTCCACTATGGTACACTGTAATTAGTCCTGCCTCGGCACCATGGAATTGACCAGATACTTTCAAGTCATCCTTTCCAGTTATATTTTCCATCATTCTGTTGAATGCACAGCAAATCACAAAGAATGGATCCTTCTGTAGACTTCTTACAAGGAAAATTGCCTTGCTGAGATCCAGGCATTACATCTACAGACAGCAGGAAGAACTCACACCAACAGAGACTAAACCAATAACAGAGACCGAACTGTGGTGAATGGCTTATGCTAGCAAATAGCTCCAGTTAGGCAGATTGGAGTAGCTACCTGCAGAACGTGTGGCCATTGAACATTAGTCAGGCTGATGAGTCTAGAAAATGCTCATCAGCAGCCTAGTCTCATTATCAATTGTAATATGTATTATGCATAACCAGAAAAGTCTTTACACTGTAAACAGAAAGAAATATCCTGGCTCTCCTTGTTAGTTCAATTCTGAAATGGGAGAAAAAGATCAATATTGCATTTCCATTTCGACCTGTTCCTATAGTTTTATGTCCTGAGGCAGGTCTTAATGAAGGTCACTTATTAAATCTGGATCTTGGCTACACTGAACTTGAGTAGCAAATTAAGGTGGACTCTGGTTACAGTGCTTGACCAGCTGAGTATATTGAGAAACTCCTGTAGACTAAAAGCAAAACAACTTTCAGAAGAGGGTTAAAATTGCACAGCCTATCACACTTTTTACAAGCACACAGGCATACCAACTGTAGATTTCAAAATGAATCCTCCAAATTTTACATTCCACAGTCCAAAATGCAAGCAAATTGACTATACGTATGGCTCTTGTATGCCATTTAAAATAATTTGATTATTCTATATCTATCTATCTGCTACTATTCTATGGCTATATTGACCTTCATTCTTTCAATATGCAAGTGGGTTAAATGTGTGGATGTTGGAGTAAGTAACATTTTGGCTCAGCAGATGAGCCAAAATAAATAGCTTTTTCCCAACCAAGAATTCTTTAGCTTTCTAGACATGCAGTAGTTTAAAAAGTCAGTTACTCTGTTCTGCTTTGTTGCTGTTGCATTGAAAACCATGACTCAAAGGTTTCATCTCTCAGATTGCTTGAGGAGAAGAGCTTTAGGCTGAGATGCTAGCAAGATGTAAGAGGCCACATTTCTACCTCTTCTGAGAAGGAATAGCTGAAGAGGGAATTGAACCCCAAGTAAGAGTAATCTTCTCAACATCAAAACAACCTTGCCCTAAGTTTTGTGTTTTAGGACCACTTCACTTTATGATCAATTAACTATTGCAAACAATGGGAAAAGGGGAGAGTGTTTCCCTCTCGAAGCACTCTCCTGCTGGTACGATTTCTAGGTTTGTCCCTTATCATGAATGTTTTGAGTATTTTCTATAGAATGGGACAGCATCCATAGGAGGGCAGGAAGCAACTCAGCCAAGAAACTTCTTAGCAGCATTCCTTTCCTTAGTTTCTTTAGATATTGCCCTCAAGGGTGAAAATGGCAGCCTCTAGCTCTTTGTCAAGCCATGTAAAAGCATGAAAAAGAGAGTTCCGCTACTTGTGTAGTAGCACTTCTAAAAAACCTTGAGTACCAGCACAGGCAGCTGTACTGAGGTTTGATCACAGTGTGGGACCAGGACATCATCCTGGAAGGCAGGAACAAGTTAGAGGTCTGGGGAGGGAAAAGGAGGGTGTCACTCACTATCTGAAGGGTTTCTTGTTTCTTGGGTTAAAGTGGTGCAGTTTCAGCATAATTTTATTCTTAAATCAAGATCCCTTCCCTTCCCTTCCCTTCCCTGCAAAAATATTCAGCAATTTTCAGTGCATTTGGACTGACCAAAAAAAACCCCCTCAGAAAATCCAAACCCCACATCTCAAAGGAAAACCAAGAAGCAAAAGCCCCTAGTTACACTGAGGGTCTTGTGGTTTCTGTCAACTTTGTAACCTTAATGCCCCTATTCTGTTGCCCTACTAACTGCAAATGCTCACCAAAGGCTGCTGAGTCAGACCAAATTAATAAGATTTGCTGATAATTAATAATCAATAAGATCTAAAAGGGAGAGTGTTAGGTGGCAACATCACCTGGCTTTTTGCATTGTAGTAGAAGGTGTTATTTCAGCTAGGGAGGTGTCCGTCCAGTTCTGCCGGCCCAGACTAGAGTTTCTGCTGACTCAGCTAACACTCTAGATGCTGACCTAAGTCAATATTGCTCTCTGTTGCCTTTAGGAGTGTTAAAGGAGGACCAGTCTCTAGACCTGAGCATTGTAATCCATCATCACACACAAGCTGAAAGACAAATGAGATCATTTCCTCCTCATTTTATGTAGACAAAAAGCTGTCATTCAGCTGGCTGCCTTCTCTGTCCTGATAGTTATGGCCGATGTAGAGATTTCTCTCAAGTGTCCTCAAACCAGCCACTGGAAGAAAAGTCAGAACTCTGTGGCTTTTACACAGAGCAGAAATGATGTTCTGTAGCAAGTACAACAGGACTATAAATCCTGTTCTGTGAGGTGCGGAACACTGAAATAATCCTACCCAAAAGTCTCAAACCCTTCTGGGCTGTTTGATCTTAAGGCTGACACCAAGTACATAATAGTTGTGAGTAACATGCAGCTGAGAGAAAAACTATATTGAAATAGAGATGTATGGAATAAGCTTTCTGCCACAATGACTAAAATGTTAATGCACAGAACTGAATCATCTTTTATCTGATTTAAATTTGGCTTAAGATGCATTTTATTGTAGGGCTGCTGTTTGAAAGACAAAGTACACAGGCCGTTGGATTCTGGCCACCACAGACCCCAGCCATGGCCATTTACCCTTGCTACAGCCCATGCTCCAGTGTGACACTTGAGTTTCTCTGAGTTTTATGACCTTGATTATGCAACTTGCCTGTCTCATCTTTTTTTTTTTTTTGACTGACTGTTTCATTACATTCAGCATGTAGAAAGAAAGGAGAAAGAAACTAAAAACATAATCCACACCTTACTGTATCAAAAATTAGGCCAGAAGGTAGATATATCAGAGAAGGAAAAGCAAAACAGTTATATGTAAAAACTTGCAAAAAATAGAAAGCTAATAAATACATGGCTATGCCTGGCTGCTTGCTGCAACCATATGAGTAGGAGCAGCAGTGTTTTGGGAAGAAACCATGGTATAGGTTAGATCAGTACTACGCTGGGTGGAAGACCTCTAGCAACATATAGGAACTCCTGGGCTCCAGGCTAGGACTGTACAAAAAGGATTTGGAATGCCAGAGTCAGCCTAGGCTAGGTGAACAGGGAGAAAAAAAACACAGAGGAGGGGTGTCAGAGTAGTAAAGGGTGTTAGAAGCAGTTAAGGGAGAAATCTTCACATAGGTAACTTAGTTTGGTAGCTGACATAATGGTATGAGAATTCCCATCACTGTTGGATGATCCAGGGGGGTTGCATTAATACAATTTCATTGGGGAGGCAGGTGTAGCTGGAGGAGAGAACATTTTTGCTTGTATTTTGCACATTCCGCACTGTGTATGTGATTTAATGTGAGCTTTTTCAAACAACCCAGAAACTGTCTGATTGTTCTTTTGTCTGTTTAACGCTGGTTACAGTCAAATTAGGAATATCAAATCGTACCCAAGAAACTGGCTCAGTTGTACAAATGTAGTGACTATTGATAATTCATTTTGTTTCTTTACAGCTGGCATATATAGGTTACTTGATGCTGTTCAATTATATAGTGTTAGTGAAGATGGATCGCTGGCCATCTACACAGGAATGGATTGTCATCTCGTACATTTTCACTCTGGGAATAGAGAAGATGAGAGAGGTAAAATCACCCCAACCAAGAAAGACATAATAAAAAAGAAATAAGGGTGGTTTTTTTCATTTTAATATGTATTTTTATTATTTTTCTCAGGATAATTTTTGATGAATCGGCTTATCATAAAATTGCTCTTTTTCACAGAAAAGCAGATGGATTGTTAAAAACACAGCACTAAAAAATCTGTCTTCCTCCATTTCAAAATCAAGACTCTCTTTCTTTCTCTTTCTCCCACGGAATTTCTCTGTTCAGATTTCTGTGTGATGCATGCTTAATCACAAGTACAAGGTGGTCTTCTGACATATCTTAAAGCTGAGCTATATTCCTTGAAATGTGGCCCAGAAGCTGAAGTATGTTTCATGGACAGGAAAAGGAGATACACTATAACAGAACAGACATGGAGACGTGGTGATAGCATGACAACCGAAAAGCCCATATTCAAATCCCCGCTCCACCCCAAACAGAGTTCATTCAAAATTTACAGCTGTTCTGTCTGTCTAAGTATCTCATGCAAAGGTTTTAAATAAAACCAGACATAACTAGCAGAAAATTTAGATCCGCGTTGAATATTGCAGTATTTTTCTAATAGGATTTCCCCCTTTTAATCTCAAAAATTTTTGCTAATTATGTCAAGCAATAGCATGAATCTCCCTAAAGATGCTAAAGCAGACACATAGAGCAGAGAAAGAGCATTTAAGGTGGCGCTCAGTCTATAGGCAGAGTGAAACTGTTCTGCCATCCCTTGCCCCTCATGGTCTCTCCCACTTGCAGCTACTGCCGTGCCCTTTTCACTTGGCCAAATGCAGATTTATTCCACAACGACACCAGAGGCAAAATTCGGCCTTGATGTGAGTGGGTGCGAGTCTTGTTGACCTCAGCTGAAACAGCACATTTGTACCCCTGGGCTGAATTTGTTTCCATCTATATTTGTATGTTCTGCAGCAAATGCTTTTGAGGACTAGACTAAAAATGGTCTTGCAACAGCCTCTTAGACTTCAAAGACAGATTTCAAACAGTGTATGGTAAACTCTACATTATAAATAAAAAGAATGGAGGAAAATATACTACTTGTGTGGCCTATAATAAGTGTACTTCACTAACCAAAAGAAAAAGGAAAACAGTGGCAGCTGCCACATGAGAACTCTGCAATACCAATGGAGATAAAGCACCACTGGCTCAGTAGGTGGGAGGCTGCTGGCAGAAATTGTGTGTGCCACTTTTGTCTAATCATTCACCCCAAATTGTCCTTCCTACAAAAGTTTATCAAGAACATTTGTCAGAATGGATTTCTAAGCAGATGTTGGAGAATGTTCACAGAAAATGAGCTTAAAATTCATTCTGAAAATGAATTATAAGAAAATTATAAGAATGGCATTCATCTTTTTAAGGAACTGTATGAGTCTGCTGAAATGTTCTCTGGCTAAATATAGAAAATTAAAACAAACAGCTTGTTAACTCAGTAAAAGCTAGGAATTATTCATAGAAATCACTTGAGGAATCGTTTCAACACTAATTCAGGAAAACAACCAAGTCTCCCAAATGATCTTGCAAACAGAATGACGATAAATTCATAAGGTAAGATTAATTATTTTTGTGAATTATATTCTCAGCTGTGGAATTTAACTTCCAAAAATGGGTCCAAGTAGTAGCTAGTATCTCTTTGGATTAAATACTAAATTCAGATCTTTATTAATTATTCCTTGACAGTTTGATACACATTTTCAAGTAATTTTCTTTAAATCTACAGCTTCTTTAAATGTGAATTTTCTGATGAAATATCTTTCTATATTTCTCCCTTTATTCCAAGACTCTAAGTAGAGTCAATAAATTTGAAAAACAGAGATATATACATATATTTATTCTGATTTCATGGGGATTTTAGAGCTTTTTGTCCTTTTAAGTATCTTGCACATAGATACAGGCTAAGAATGGTTGAAATGGAAGATTTCTCAAAAAAATCAGAGAGTACATGAGATATTTGTATTATAGGAGTCTTTTAGCTTTGCTTTTGGCCTGTGTGGCATATATTTGTTTACTTAGGTTTCTTCAAGCTTAAATTAAGATGGCTCAGCTCCTTTCCTCTCCATGTCCTCTGTCCTTCAGATATTGATGTCAGATCCCGGGAAACTGTTACAGAAAGTAAAAGTTTGGCTCCAGGAGTACTGGAATGTTACTGATCTCATAGCTATACTCCTGTTCTCTGTTGGGATGGTGCTGCGTCTGCAAGATCTGCCACTCCGGAGTGATGGCCGAGTGATATACTGTGTTAACATCATTTACTGGTATATACGGTTATTAGACATCTTCGGAGTAAACAAGTATTTGGGACCATATGTTATGATGATTGGGAAAATGGTAAGAGAAGTTGGTGTGCTCCTATGTTTTACCAGCATGTTCTTGACTCTGTGTCTTTGGCCTATGACATCACTGCAGATTTACCTGTATTTTTTTTACACATTAGCATTTTCGTGTAAGCCAGAAATCAGTGCCTTATTGAATCAAAACTTCAGCATAGACCTCCAGAACTGAAGATTAGACTCTCCCTGTCCTATTAGATGGTGTATTTTTTGTCTTTCTTTGAGATGTCTCTTCAACAGCATAGCTATCCATCCTACACCTCTGTGCCTCATTTGCAGAAAATACAAAGGATACTAATGCTCAACTAGTTGTAAAGGAGGGTGGTTTGTTAAAGTTAAAAAAAAGTGTTTGGTACCTTGACACTCTCAAAGAAATTTTGTTGTAATAGGTGTGCTATATTCAAAATTATAATGGTTAGGATTAAGACTGTGACCTTTCTATAGTTTGCTCCATACCCATATGTTCTTCCATCTTTCCTGTTCAGGTATGTCCCTGTGAGATGAGAAATCCATTTGCATAACTGCAGCCTCTGTCCCCTGGCCACATCACATGTACACAACATGGCAGGAGTATGACTAGGTTAGGTATCCAACAGATATTTGCTGCCAGATGTATAACTTTTGACTTTTTGGCTTTTTCTTTTTACGTTTCAGTAGAAATGTTGCATGAAAGCAGCATTTTGCTTGTATGAAGTAAAGAAAACAGCTGAGTTTACAGATGCACATACACATGCCCCTGATATTTGCATGCAGCTAATATACATGCTTATGTTTTAAATGCAGTTATCCAGCCTTTGTTGTGTAAATAATGGCTTTTTCATGCATTCTGGGGTTTAAGATCTATTTTTTAAAAAAATAGAATAAAAGACCCTTGAAGCTGGCATTCAGTAAAAAAAAAGTAAACTGAGTATTAACTTTTCTAAATACAAATATTACTGCTGTCTGATTGCTATGTGAACAATAATCAGAAAATCCAAATAGGCAGTCTGTGGTGTTTGCTTTACTGTGATCCTTAAAGAAAAGACTCAGCCACCCTTCTTCCTCACCATCATACGAAAAGAGGGCATATATGAATGCATGGACTACAATCCTTCCTTGATATTACCTTTGTCACAACAAGCTCAGTGATTCTAAGCAACTATAAAACTGAAACACAAAATATATGTCCAGTTAGGCTCCCTACCTAACAGGTGCCTGGAGAGCCATTGTCTGACCCTTCAGTTTACCAGCATTCAATTCCAAACCCAGAGGGGAAACACAAAAGAAAGTTGAATTGTTATGTCCTGCAAACAGGATTTTGAAGTGTGCTACCTTCCCTAGTGTGTTACCTTCCTTCAAGAAAGCTAATAGGATGTTGGTGGGAGGGATTTTGCAGAGCTCCAGAGTACAGAGGTGAAAACACTCAACAGTTCTTGCTGGACGTTACTGTAAAAGGACAGCAGGACAAGAGAAAGAACCAAAGACCAAAGGGAAAACACTGCATTATCATCTGTTTCTTTCCTGCCCGACCTGGACTGTGTCCCTCCATCAGAGGATCTGGTGGCCACTGGGGCTTACACAATAAACAGTGCATAAAACTCCTAAAAAACAGCTACCTTCCTACTGTGTTGTATTTTTCACAGGTGCCATGTACAAAAAGTTTCAGAGCTGTGGTGCTAGCAAAGGCAGTCTGAAAACCAGTTCAATAATAAACAGATTAGCCACAAATAACAAATATCCAGTAGTCAGTGTTATGGATGGCTGATAGGAGCCCAGCTTCACCAATAGTATAAACAGTGGCTTATTTTTCTCCTGGGGTCAACACAGAAAGGAAGTGGTTGAAATCAGCAAAATAATATAATTTCCATTCCTTTGTCATTCTCACATGTATACAAGAAATCAAGCCTCACATCACTTTCTATGGAAAACAAATGCAGGAAAATCACTAGCCTTGGTAGGCTTGATGGCCACTCAGAGGGTGTTGAATTAAACTACCAGAGTACTCTGAAGGTGTGGGCAACTGTTAAAGGAGGGAAGTTCTTTTATTTTGTGCCTTCCTGTTATTTCATTTTCATACGTTGTCTAACTTTCCATGCACTCAGCAACTCTGACACATCCACTTTGCCCACACATGCAATGCCCAGCTGGTTTGAATTACACAAATTTGCCTCTCGCATCTATCTTCTGGCCAACTTACTCCCCTGTGTAATTGACAGCCCATTTATATCATGCACAGACTTCCCTGGAAGTTGCACCTGCTCGCTCCAGGATGCAGTGGGCTCCCTTGTGTTTTTTTGTTTAGATCACATGTCCATTTATGTCCTTGGGTTTTCTGTCTTTTTCATCTTGTGGTCTTGCAAGTAACATTCAGCACTAGGGCAAACATCAAGCAGGTTATACAGAGTAAGCCCGTCACAGCTATCGAGTTCCTCAACAGACCATATTTAATGCTTGAGTTTTTATCCTGAGCTTCTATTGTGAGTAAGTTTTAGACTCAGGAGGAAAAAGATTACTCTTTCCACCTTTCCAATGTTAGGGAACTTTCTCTTCGCCTACCTCTACGTTGTATCCAACAAAATAACTGTGCCTCTGGGCACTGTGAACAAATACGCAAATGAAATTAAGCGAGGGTCAGAAATGGGCTTGAGCAGTTTAAAAGCAGTAGGTTAAAGCAAAGGTGAACATAGGAGGAGGAAGCTAAATGGCTACGTTTATTATCTACTTATTTCAGTAACAGAATATGCTTATTAGAAGCTGCTTTTCTGATCTCTGCACAGTGATAGATTTACTCCCCTTTTATTTGGGAATGAAATTAAATCACTGTGGCATGTCAAGAGAGTCAGAGGTATATCAGTTCCCTTACCGTGTGAGAATGTCTACATTTTCTTAGCTTCTTTGCAAATAAAAAAGCAGAAATAGAGTCAGCTCATTTATGAAACTGCACCAACGGTTGCCCATTTTATAACTTTTTAAAACAGGTGACTAATGAGTTGAAATGGCCATTGACTTAAAGCAATTGTAATTCAACCCTACAGGCCAAAGGCCCTGGTAGAGTGCACATTAGAGTCAGTGGAAACTCGCCCGTCTGTTTCCCTGGATTTCAGACAAGCTACTCAGGTTTTAGAAAGGTATTTAGCAGAAGAGGGAAAAGCTTATACACAGTCTGAATAGAGAATAGCAATGAAAATTTTATTTCTTGCAACATGTGGTCAAACCTGTGTGATTCCTGATCAAAAACACTGGAAGCATTTAAGAAATTGTCCTAAATTGCCAACAAATACTCATTATGTTTATTTGCTTGCATGACATTTTAAAATAGATATTATATTACATCATACCATGTTATCTATTTCTACATGAAACAAACTTTCATCAGAGAAGAAAGGAGGAAGCAGGTTTCATATCCAAATTGTTTCACTAAAAGCAGTAAGAACTAACTGAAGTTATGCAGCTTTCCCATTTCAGGATGCTCTCTGAGGTACAATGATCTGGAATTCCTTTTCAATCAGGTTTCTTTTGAGAGATTAATGCTCTGAATAAAACAGGAATCTTGGTGATTTACTTGTCTGTTTTTTTATTCTTTAAGGCATTTATTTTCCTCTCTCATGTCTCCAAGGGTTTTTTTTCTTTCTTTCCTGCATCTTTATGTACCTCAAGATTTCTGTTTTCCCCTGCTTTTTTTCACTTGTGCCCAGTTCCTTCTTTCCCCTTCCTTGAGTCTCTCCTACCAGAGCCCTGCCATACAGATGTCTTTCTCCTACAACCTCTCTGTCAATGGATATGAGAATATCCTTTTCTGTTTGCTCCTCTGTATCCCTCTCTTTTCTCTTTTAGATAGGTTCCCAGTGTTACTTTGACCTCAGGTCTCTCTCCTTGTGCTTCAAAACTGAAGAACCCCCATAGCAGTGTCAGATTCATCTGCTGCAAATAAGTCCCTTTTCCACCAGCTCTTGTCATGAGCAACCCTGCTATTGAGCTGCAGCAGGTCCTCCCTGAGGCCATAAGGTCACCAGTTGAGGTGCAGGTTGGTTGCACACCTGCCTCGCAAGGAAGGCAGAATGCAGCTCAGCCAGAAAATGCAGAGACTGAAGGGATTAAAACTCATGAGGTTTAGAGGAGTTCTGTGTTGAGTTTTGGCCAGAGACAGAAGTTGCATCCAAAGCTGTGAAAAACAGCTCTCTCTTTAACAAGCCTTCTAACTAAAGACGTGTAAGTAAACCTGTAACTAAAGGTTTTAAAGGGATCTTACCAGGGGCCTTACAGGACTCCCATTTGTTTTCACATTCATTTTGGGTTATAAAGCAACTCTGCTGTACCTGCTTAACAGCCATTGCCCTGCTCTCTGGAGGGTCTTTTCTAGCACAGCTCCTCTTCTCATCTTCAGCCTCTGTTCAGCACCTCCTAGGATTGCCGTCCCACTTTTTCCAGGAATATTTTGAATGGGTAGGCACTGTTTGCAAGCACTAATTAAATTTGTGTGTAGGCTAATGAGGCCTTCAACAATGGAGGAAAATAGGTTTGAGTGTCTGTGTTATGTGCATTTTTACTTTTAATATGGGCTTTGTCAGACTCCCCCATCAAGCTGATTTCTAGTCCAGCCAGTATCACAGCTTTCCTTTCTCACTGGTTACCACCATGGTGCCCCTTATGTTGCAGTAACAGGCTGTTCTGCCACCCGTTACTCCTTCTGTTAGATGCAGCTTCCTTCCTTTGCTCAAAGACAATGACTACCAGTGAATAAAATAATCCAAGTCTGCCCTTTTGTTTTGGTACAGTTGCCACTAGGTGCCTATAAACAATACATCATCTCATAACCCTTGCCCAGACCAGGCTGCTGATTCCAGTGAAACTGTATTCTTGTTCAGGCAACTGATATGACCAGATGGTATCTTGTATTTTCAAGCCTATTCATAACATTTAAATTGTTCTTAAAAGCAACACTGGGTAAAACCAGGAACACAATAATACCCCTTCAGTTCTTTGAAAATGAAATTTCTTATATGTAAAAGTGAGAATGGCTTTTCAAAATTTGTTTTTGAAAATTCTGTTTCTAAGATTCACAAACTTTTTTTGCAGCATACAATAATAGGAATATGGACAAATAAATTCCTCTAATTCTTGTCCCTTCTCTCTCTTTCTCTCTCGTTTCCTGTCATTACATTCAGATGATAGACATGATGTACTTTGTCATCATCATGTTGGTGGTTCTGATGAGCTTTGGTGTCGCAAGACAGGCTATTCTCTTCCCCAATGAGGAGCCTTCGTGGAAGCTGGCGAAAAACATTTTTTACATGCCTTATTGGATGATCTATGGGGAAGTGTTTGCAGACCAGATAGACCGTAAGCAAGTTTATGATTCTCATACTCCAAAGTCAGGTATCCAACTTTGATCAGATGATGTCCTACTAGATCATGTGTGTGTGCTCAATAAATGGCTCAGGATAGAGGAACTCCTTCACCACAGAAAATGGTCACAAAAATATTTTTTCAGCTAATATTGGGACCAGTTTCCAAGCATGCTTCTGGCATTACTTCACAATTATTTAACCAAAAATCTGTAATGCTAAATTATATTGCACATAAAGAATGTTTTAAATGGTTCCTTTTTGCCAGTTAGGTGAGAGGGATACCCTCCCAGGTATCCACCATGAGTTCATTGGTATACCTGGGACGTAAAAAGTCACTTCTTTTTTTCTCATCCATTGGTTTGATTTTAGACCTAAATACTTTTTACCTAACTTCATATTGAGCATCAAGTCTAATAATACTGGGTTAGACCTTCAGCTCCTGCACCTCATGAGGATCTAATCCAGTGTGTTTTCTTTTCTCTGTTACCTAGTCACTGCCATTACCTTTATGCTAAACCATGTGATGCAATTCTTTGGGGACAGTAGATCCATTATTAGAATTTTGCTTTATTTATTTATTGGAAGGCAAGACTGTGCTCACATCAGTGCAAACAGAACAAAAGACTGTATTTCATATACTGTCTCCTCAGGATTCATTTGGGTAGTGATCAGGAAAATGCCAGTCTTCTCTTTAAATTAAACCTGGTGCCACCTGGTGCATTACGCCAGAGGAGGGGGGTGATCATAAGAAATACTGTGGTAGATGTATCACAAACAGTGTATCCATAGCAAACACTGACATGCGACTGAGGTTCATTGTTCCTACTTAAATATGTGTAAGCCTTGCTAGCATTTAGAAGTGAGTATCTTTTCCAGCAGCAGATGACATGCATTAAACCTCTGTTTAGGATATTCCTTTTTATCTTATGTACCACATTAGGAAAGGGCATAACTTATGTAATTACTTTTCATAATTTATTTTCTTCTTGTTAAGTATTGACTAAGTTTGAATGGAAAAAAAGTGTTGAATTTTCCTGAGCTGGTTAAGCTAATAAATGTATCTGTATCACCAATAATCCCCCTAGTTTAACAGAGTTTCACATGGACAGATGTACACATATCACATGGCAGGTATTTCAGCAGTTCCATGTTCATTTCTTCTTTGCGGTTAGCATAGAATCATTACTGTGGATACAGATGAAACTTCTTTTTTATGTATATTTCCCCACTTTGTTTTCAGAGGCAGCATGACATGCAAGGAAGTAAACAGATACCTAAAATCACAAAGCTTTTCAGTGAGTTTAGCTTTTTACCCAGTTCTCTCATTTTTATCCTTTTTCCTTTTCTTTTCTTTATAAAAGTTCATTTCATTCCACAGGCAGAATAGCTGGGGGTATAGAACTTCATCTTGCTCCAAAAGCATAGTAGAGGGATAAAAGTTTATCCTATTACACGATGACTTCCGTCCACAAGCAGGGTTCTGTCTGTCCCTCTACAAGTGGCCATTTATTGATGTTGTACTAAGTAACTACCATAGTGCAACAAACATGGTGATTGGCTGAATAAAAAGTTACTGGTATTTTTTTTATGAAGTGCTGATTGTAGTTTAGAACCCTAAAACCTGAGAAACTGAAGTATTTTGAATTAAGAATATTTTTTGAATATGAAAAGAGGGTGGCAGGCTCCATACCCTTGCATGAGGATGTAGGGATAGTCTTGTGTGTTACTCAGATCCCCAACATTTAAACCTCGTAAAAAGATGCAGCGTAATTAATTTTGAGACTTGGAGAAAGCAAAATTTTTTGACAGTTTCAACTCCAGCTATAAGTGTAGACATGTTGTTCTGTCTGTGTCAAAGAAACTAGAAGTTGCAGTAAAAGTGGTGATGCCAAAATGAAAAGCAGCACCTAGTTCCTCCTTCCTGAGAGACAGATGATGCAGGGAATTAGAATCTGCCACTCTTTCAGCACAAAATATGTGCAATATGTCATGTCTGTCTGAGGCTCGGTTGTCTCAAAAATGTTACCTCTGAAATAGACTGGGAGCATGAGCAAATGGTTGGTGATGTTGTTATACAATCCAAATGACCTGATTGGCAGCCAAAAGGTTTTCCTAGTGTACTTATATTTTTTCGCTATTTGGAAATCTGTTGTTACATGTATTTCCCAAGTTGTTCTAAGCTAAATCAGCCACTGTGTTCATGTTAGAGTACTACACTCTTTGTACTTTCTCAAATAAGATAAACATGTTCTAAAATTGTTATGCTACATCTAAACTGCAATTGAGCTTTATAGCTTGGAGCAGATTATTAGTATTATTTTAGCAAACGAAAAGGGCTTCTTTGTGGGTTTGGTTTTTTTTTTAATGTTGCTCCATTGTTTGCAAGTTTGAGATTCAGCAAAAATGCTGATCTTGGAAGTGTATATACATTTGAGCCACACTCCTAGAGATTATCCTAGTGTCTGAGAAATGTACAAAAAAAGTATGTACTCTAAAATTTCTAACTTACTTTTCTTTTTTAAAAAATATTTTCTTTTGATTTGTGAGGCATGCCATTAAGGCTGACCAGGTACAGTGTTAGATCCATCTCATCAGCTGGCAGCCTGCCCATCCAGTGGGTCTACTCTGATTTTTATCTCAATGAACTGCACTGTTAAAACACTAGCTAAATGCCTGGTTCTTAAATAATGCATGTCATATACATTTCCCTTTTTTTAAGCATAATTTCTGTATTCATTTCATTTTTAAAATACATACGCTAACTGGAGTGTGCATTGGTGTCCTGTTAGTATGTGATCCCATATTCAACTCAGAAGTGGGGACAGAATTATATCCTCATATCCGAGACTATGAATACACTAATCAATGGTGTCATTTCTTATCAGTGATGTACATAAATACTACCTACCTACAAACTCCTATCAACCAATTGTAAAGGGGAAAAAAGAAAAAAAAAAAAAAAGCATAGTACATCTTTTAGAACCCTGTTCAAATTTTCATGTAAATTCAACAAAAAGAGGAAAACCAGTCTCAAAGTAGTTCCTCTCAGACTGACAGTTCATCACAGCCGTGTTAGTTGGTGGAAGAAGGGGGATCTGGGTCAGGGAACCAGTGATGGTGTGTGAAACTGTCTCACTTTTAGGCTGCCTTTCCTAATCCCACTGAGCCTTCTGCTGCCCGATGGGATCCGTGGGGCAGCAGCCAGCCACTTAGCTGCTTTAGTGAATGCCTGTCAGGAAGGAAATCCACAAATGCTCTGAAATCTCTCCCTCCATTCACCTCACTTACTTTGGCACTATTGCTGTCAATTTTAGCCAAAAAAAAAAAAAAAATCACAACACAGTTGTCACATGCAAAGAACTTTGTTTTCACCGTACCAAGCTATCTGCCCCTCTAGAATACTATTGAAACAGAAGAATATAAGAAATACTGAAGAAGAAAGGATTATTCGGGGACTGCATTTGCTTAGTAAAAAATGTAGATAGATGACATAAATGGCAACTTGAGAAATGGCTGTCACCTGCAAAAAATCAGCAGGAGACCTCACATTTTCCTGTATTAAAAAGGCAAAGCAACTGAGCGCTGTTAGCCAACACAGGTTTGGGTTTTCTGGTTTGGGCTGCTTTTCAGATTTGCCTGGTGTCTCACATGTCAGATTTGCATCTGGATTTTCTTTCCAGCTGACAGTATTTCAAGTGCCATCTGGAATCCGAAGATCAGTTTGGTTTGTGTTTGTTCCCTGTGCCTACTCCCTTATAGGAAAAAACAACATAGTTTAAGAGAAAAAGATAGCGCCTCCTTCTCTTTCACTTATATTGGAGGAATGCCAGGTAACCAAAATAAGGTTGTTTCAGGAGATGACAGACTATTCCACACAGGTTTTAACTATCCAATGAACTTAAGAGGAAAGTATAATTACTACGAAAGATTTTTTTAAAAATTCTTAGTCTGTTAGATTTATTATTTTTTAAAGTTTTTGAAGTTTTCTTAGTATAAATGAAAATTTTATACTAAATTCTATACAATCTTAGAGGTTTCATCTTTTCATGTCTCTGTAGGAACTTCCTGCAAGGGCTCTTATTTGCATGGAATTAGAACAAACAAAGCAGCTTTGCACAAAACAGAATAAATGATACCTCTGCAGCACAGGCAGAGGATAAAATCTGTGCACAGCCTGCGCACCATTTTGAAAGTCTCTCTGGCCTAAGTTGCAGTAGTATTCCCCTCACATCCTTTGGGTTCAGTGCAGATCAAAACTGGAAGGTGCCTATATACTCACAAACGGAGTGATGAAAGTGCATTTTAAATGTCTAGACTTGAATGGAAAAAAAAAAGATGGGTTGGTTTGTTAGTTAATATGCACTAATTGATTTCCTTATTCTTTAGAATTGTGATCATATGAACCCATTCTTCAGTTTCTTGTGATTACAAACAAATAAACTTGTATTGTAAAAGTGGTATCAATTTTTACATGAGAAGTTTTAATCAAAGGCAAAAAACTGTTTGTTAACAAAGCTGTTCAGTTATGCAGTTTCCTCTCTCCATTATTTCCCACAACTACTTTGGAAGGGTGCAGCTGGGGGAAGAGTCATTACACAGAAATTTGCAAGCATTTTTTCCCAAGCTCTCCACCCAACACACAGTAAAAATGAGCAGTTCCCATCTCATGACAGTAATTACAGCAGGCAAACAAATTTTTCCAGAGCTCTGCCACCACTTTAGACCTGAAACACACAAAGGTGTGGATTATTTTCTGGCCAGGAAAGAGGAAGGGTTAGGTATGTAGCAGGAAAGGCCCATACAGGAAGCTATAAATGGGAGCCAGGAAGGGAAAAATAAGCACAGGAGGAGATTGTGAAAAAGGAAACAAGAGATGCAAAAAAAAAAATGTATGCCCACAGATGTCAGGATGCAATATTTGAAAGCTGAGTGATGTTAATGCATGTAATTGAAATTAAAATTCCAGCCTTCTATTATTTTCTAAAGTCTGAGTGCAGGACATAATGTCCAGTCTTTATCCAGTGGCCTGTAGGTATCAGACTGATTGGGTTTTTCGGTTACCTAAAATAGGCATATAGTTATATTAACAGAATTTGCTTCAGCAAAACATTTCACTACAGTTAAGTACTCTTATGTATTTTTTGTTAAGGCAAGGCTGTAATGTAAAAAGATTAGTATGTCTTCATACATTTCTAGCATTGTCCTGGTTTTGCTAAAATTGTGCTTTGAAAAATTTTGTTATTTTAGTATGTTACTGCACATACTACAAAAATTACTGCATTTCTCCAAACATAATTAAAATGGTCAAATGGTGTTACACATGAAAGGCAGGCGCGGATCCCTTAGGGATGAGGCACAACACTCAGCAAGTGAAAGGTTTGGCTTTATGGAAAGCGCAGTGTTACCATGATGGGAGCCCTGGGACACCAGTGCTAATCAATTGGGGACCTGATGCAGTGGAGCCCTGCTCAGGAATGAAGCTCAAGGGAAGGAACCACAGAGGCAGATAATAAAACTTGTGCTGTTTAACATATTGTGCAATGTCCCGTTTTGCTCGTTAGCGAACTCGACAATGTAATGCGGGTGCTGTTGTCTGAATTCTGAGATCCGCAGCTGGATGTCGCGTTGGTGCCCGTGCAGGGGCATGTGCAGGTGAGGGGAGTGAACTGCCCTCGGCTCCCATAACAAGGAGATAAGACCTGCTTGGGGCTCTTCGTACTCGGATGGGGGAGGCGAACTGTCCGGGGTTACCCTAACAAAGGCTTCCTGCGCCCTACAAACAGAATTCTGATTTCTTAAATGTCAACAAGTATCTTCATTATCTAAAAATGTGATTCCAACTTTTAGCTTCCTGACAGAGCCCTCTGTCCTTTTTCACAGAGAAATTTCTGTTTCTGGTTTCCTGGGAGTAATTATTTTAAACAAACAGTTTATTTAGTGTTATTAAATAGTGAAAAAAAATCCTTTAAAATTAAGGTTGTAGTTTAAAGATGGAAGAAGATCTTCAGTGACGTGCAGTGGACACACATCATACATTTTCTCATGCAGCTGAAAATGTGAAGATTAAGTGGTGGCTTAGTTCTCCTTAAAATAAGGCATGAGATTAGTATTCCCTTGTTATTTAAAAACTGTTCCTGCATCAGAACGTGCGAAAGAGAAAAACTTTTGCAAACCTTCAGGACAGTCTGAACACCCAGGCACGTATAGAATCGACTAGAGGAACTTGGCTTTGTATGAAGTCTAATTTGGCCATCACTGTGTGCCATAAACCAACAGGGATGTATTAATGGTATTCTAAATACTCTATCGTATGCAAATAAAGATGGGGAAATAATTTTTGTCTTAGTAGTTGTCAAAGCTGATTTTTTTTAGATTAAATTATCTTTTTTAACAGAAAAAAAAGAATTGTAACCAGACTTTGAGCTGAGTTTTTTATGTCATTGATCTAAGGTTTAAAATACGCTTTTCACCAATTTATCTCATTGCTGCAAAAATCATTATCTCTTCTGTTCTTCAGCACAAAAAAGGACAACAGGTTTCATCAGCTGATATGGTGATTGTTCCATTACTGGTGAAATCATGATGGGTTTCAGTACTGTGTTGTGTTGGACTTGTGTAGTTCTGAATCAACATGTGAGCAAGTTAGTGTTTCCACACAAACAAAAATGTAAGTCTCACACTGCGTGCTGACACCAAGAGGCATTGAATGTCCCAATTTCTGCTGGGTGAAGGCTGAGTACACATAGCCCTGCATTCTCAGCAGCTCACAGATGGCATTTTGAATGTCTAAATGAAATGGCTGCTTGGAGCAGTGCAGGAAGCATGAAATCAGCACTAACTTTAAACAATCTGCAAGGTGATGCTTTGTGAGAAATAAAGAATTGCGTACGCTCAGCCTGTTCCAGTAATAAAATGTATTTTTGTAAGCAGGAAGGACTAGTGACACCATGGGTCCAGACACAACAGAGTGGCTTGTAGAAGTAGTATTGCTTGTACGTGGCTTTGCCATTTCTTTTTCCATGAGTTGAGTATTTTGGGAGAGTTCTTGTTTGAAGCTGATGTATCATGTATTCCTCTATCCCATCTGGATATAATATTTCTGTATGTAATAGCCTAACAGCTGTATGTAGTGCCCAAAACCAAGTACACAAATCACATGTAATACCAAATGATTGCCAGTACAGACACCCATAGTTGAATACCATGCTCTGTGACCGAAGTTCAGAAGGATCTTTTTGAGTAGTAGTTGGTATTGTAAATCATGGATTTGTTGACATAGGGTGGAATTGTACAAAACATACGGCACTGGCAAAATTTGTTGTCTGTGACATCAGTGGGAAACTCATTGATATCTACAGGAACTGAGCCAGTGCTGAGCACTTTGAAAATTCCTCATCTAAACTTCTATTTGATGGGAAAGAGGGGAAGCCTGCTGTAGTGCTGTACAAAATTTACTAAGATAGTTTGTATATGTAAGCTGCTTCTTCAATTATTTTCTTGAGGAGCTGATTACAGAGGTACTTAGGACCACTAGGACTGAGGCTAGAAAGACGTAAACTGAACCCATGCTTGCAAATCCAGATCAGCCACCACAGCACATGAAGGCATGTAAAAAAATAAGCAAGAAAAACTATTTCACAATGTTTTCTCTCCCCTTGCTTTGGTTCTACAACATTAATACTGAGAATGTTTTGGTTCCAAAGCATTCAAGGAAGAAACAGGTGGCAACTCTGCTGCCTACATGTCCCTTTACCTGGTACAGTAAAGGCTTGATAATCTCTCCCACTGTTTCTAGGCATGCAGTCAGAAGTTCTTAATAGCAGAGGGTCATTATGAGTATGTCCCAGAGGGACTCAGGGCAGTGAAGTGTGCAGCAATCAATGTCTACTCTTTAATTTACTTTCATGCACTTCTTTTTCCTTATGGTATTTATCACATCCTCCTCCATCAATCAAAAAAAGACCAAGCTTTCACTGTTAAAAAGATAAGATGTAAGCTTTTTTCCAGGATTAAACATTTTGATCATTTTATTTGCACAGCCTCTAATTACTACAAGACTACCATGATACTTTAGCTGTATGCAACCAGGCAGCTTACTCACACCAGGCTTGTCTCCTGCAGTTTCTGGAGGGAATATCTTGATATTCATGACAAATAACACACAATAACAAGAACTGCAGCTTGTAAAATCTGTGATAGCAAGTGCAAGCTTCTTGGAGGGAGCATCAATGCCGCTGTTATTTGGAAGATATTGCTTTGGCAGGCAGGACATTTTAAATATTTAAATATCTCTGGAAAAAAAAAAAAGTTAAAAAGATTCATTCCCATTTTGCATTTCTTTGCATTTTCGTTCCCAGCTCCTTGTGGTCAAAATGAAACCAGAGAAGATGGCAAAATAATCCAGCTACCTCCCTGCAAGACAGGAGCATGGATTGTTCCTGCCATCATGGCCTGTTACCTCTTGGTTGCAAACATCCTTTTGGTGAACCTCCTTATTGCTGTTTTCAAGTGAGTGACACATTGACAAGTATGGACTTAGGGGGGATGGACATTATTCACAGCCTAAGGCTGCTACGCTGAAGACTTTGGCCAAGACCCATTTTCAGAGGATGTGAGGGTGAGAGGGCA